AAATTAAACAAAACAGTAATTAATTAAATAATGTCTTGGTCACATGCTACTTATTCTTCCACCTGTCAGTTAATGCGGCGTCTTTCCCCCAACCTTCTCTGCGACTGTGCCTGCTGAAATTCTCTATTCTTCAATGCTCACCTCAGATGGTGGTTTCTCTTTGAAGTCTTTCCATAGCTCCTCAGCTGGAAAGGAATTCTCCCTCTTCTGAACAACAATGTCTCCGTGTACTTCTTATAGAACTTCTTAGAACTTCTCAAGGTCTGCTTGTATCATATTGTTACAGAATAATAAGCACGAGATGAGCTCTCCTATTTCTTATCGCTACCGCCCACCTCAGCTCTCTTTAGTCATACTTTTTAAAGTAAACATTTAGGAAACACTTAGTTCTATTTTCCTATAGTGTCTTTCTTTTTTTTTCTTTTGTGCATAAAATCACATATACACAGTTTAACAAATAATCATAGAGGGAATGCCCATGTAATCTCTACCTGGATCAATACATTGATCATTGTTAGCACTTTGGAACTGTAGCACATGTGTGTACATATACCCAAAGTCGAGACTTTGGGTGTTAGCACCCCTAAACCAGGTGCCTTTCTCTCATCACTACCTCTTCTCCCCCCTCTTCTCCCCTGGAAATGCTGGCTCAATATCAGCCCTGGTGAGAATTTTAATGATGATCATTAAAATTTGTGAAGACTAACCATCCCTGTGATAATCATTTTCTGACTTTTGTTTTTCTGTTTGTTTTTGCTATAGGTGGTGTGTGCTCACCAGAGAAAGAAAGAGAGACAGAGAGAAGGAAAGTGACATGAGAAATCACTCCCTTCCCACAGGGAGGATGGCCACAATCCTGTCTCCTCCATTCTCCTCCTGGGATTTTGGACAAGCACGCGTATACACCTGGTGTGATTTTCAAGCCACCATGTCTGGGATTTGAATCACAGCTGATCAAATGGGAGTTCAGCACCTTAACCACAATGCCTTTTCTTTATAGTTTCATCACTTATGAATATAGCCATAAAGCCGTTTGCCTTTTTAAAAAGAATTGTTCATTTTATTTATCATTATTATTATTTTGCTATAGGACACATGCACTCAGCAGAGAGGGAGACAGAGATAGAGAGACAGAGAGAGAGAGGGAAATTGAGAAAGCAAGGTGCCAAGTCCAGGACTCAAACAGCAGTCAGTCATATGGGAGTCCAGCGCCCCAATCACCATGCCTCCTGCTCACTCCACTTTTGCCTGTCTTTGAACTCTACATAAATGACATCATACAGTACAGATATGGCATGCATGTGATTGTATGAAGATGCCATTCATTTTCATCAATGTACAATATTTCATTGTGTGACTATATCACAATTAATTCATTCTCTTGTTGATAGACATTAGGTAGTTTCCAGTATTGGGCTTTTACAAACAAAAGCTGTTCAGAACATTCTCGTACATTTTGTTTAAAAAAATTATTTATTTTCTTTTTAATTTGCTATAGGATATATGTGCTCAGGTGAGAGAGACAGAGAGAGAGAGAGATGAAGAGAGAGACAGAGAGAGAGAAGCAGAGAGAGAGAGACAAAGAGAGAGAGAGAAGAGAAGTGAGAATGTATACCACCAGGTCTGGGATCCAAGCCACAGTAGGCCTTGTGAGAGTCCAGCGTCCTAACTACTACGCCATCTGCTGACCCCCTGTACATGTTTTTTAATGCACATACAAATGAGTTTCTGTAGTGGAATCATTGTGTCAGAAGTGTCACAGGTCGGGCTCTTCAGAAGTAAAGGCTGAGTTAGAAGGTTGGGTGCAAGGTGTTTATTAGGGATCAATACCTGTGAGGGAAAACCAGAGGTCGTAGGATTAAGCAGGGTAGAAGATATTCTGTGATAGGAGTCTGGCAAACTTGAGCCAAGCTGGCATGGAGCTTTGTGTTTTTTTGTTTGATTGTTTTTGCTACAGGGCACGTGTGCTTGCCAAAGACAGAAACAGAGAAAGAAACAGAGAGAAAGCACCCCCAGGGAGAGCTGGCCATATCACAATCCTTCCTCCTCCTCCTTTTTCTTTTCAGGACTTTGGACACACACAAACACACATACACACACACACACACACACACACACATACCTAGAGTGTTCCTCAAGCCACTGGGTCCGGGACTTGAACTATGCAGTCAGTCATGTGGGATTCAGCCACCTCAGTCTCCATGCCATCAGCAGGCCCAGGAGCTTTGAAACAAGTAGAGCCCATCAGTGCATTCCATGTCAGGCCAAAAGATCCTTAACTGCCCTGCCTCACTGGTCCCTTCGGAAGAGTATGACCTGGGGTGAAGCAGTCTCTGTAGCTAAGGCATACCCTTGAGGGGCTGATAGCTGGAGGCTGCTAGCTGACAGTACTCCTCATACTTGGGTAGAATGTCCTTCCTGGAAGGAGAATCTGGATGGCAATCTCCGTGACTCTACCGCTATAGAGCCCGTATGTGTTCAATTCTAGTCCGCAATGCCAAGTGGGTTTCCGAAATACTGATAGTTGTACAATTTACACTCCGACCTGCCCTGTATGAGAGATCCCATTGCTTCCCAACCTCACCAACTCTTGCTATTGTCAGTGTTTAAGAATTTTAGCCATTCCGGGACCAGCAGTTGATGTAATGGCTATGTCGCTGGATTCCCATGTAGCCAACCGTGGTTTGAATCCTGGACCCGACAGCTTAAACTCACGCCAGGTGCATGTGCGTGCGTGCTCAAGATCCCGAGAGGAGAATGGAGGAGAAGGAATTGCGGTGTGGCCATCCGCCAGGGGGTGATTTCTCGCTTTCTGTCTCTGTCTCTCTGGCGAGCACATGCACCCTATAGCAAAAGCCTCTTTAAAAAAAAAAAGAATTTTAGCCATTCTAATGGGTGTGTAGTAGTATCTCTTTGTGGTTTTAATTTGCATTTCCCTGAGGACTATGAAGGTTAAACACTCTCTTGTGTGTTTATTGCTTTGCTAGTTCTTCTTTATTTTCTCATCTGCATTTGTTAGTCATTCTTAGATAATGAGTCTCTTTGGAACAGTGGTCAGCAAACATAGACCGAAACCTATTTTTTGTATGGCCCTCTACCTAAGAATGTTTTTTACATTTTTTTTTTTAGGGAGATTTTTGCTATGGGGCACATGTGCTCACTAGAGAGACAGAGAGAGAGAAAATGAAAAATCACCCCCAAGGGGGGATGGCACGCCTCAATCCTTTCTCCTCCGTTCTCTTTTTGGGATTTTTGGGCATGAGTTTCTGGCTTCTTGGTCCGGGGCTTGAATTGTGGTTGACCATGAGGTAGTCCAGAGTCTCAACCACTACGCCACCTGCTGGCCCCGGTTTTTACATTTTTAAACTGTTGGGGAAAAAAAATCGAGAGTAAGATTTCGTTAGGTGGCATTGAAATGTCAGTATCCATAAATAAAGTTTTATATTGGAACAGAGCCATGTTCACGTGTTTGCCTGTGATGTATGGCCGCTTTCCTGCTACCGCAGCAGGGTTAAGTGGTTGCAACAAAGACCCGATAGTCCATAAAGTCTCGATTTTTTTTTTTTTATAGAAAAAGTTTGCCAGCCCTTGTTCTAGGTCACTGGTTCTGGAAGGGTGGCCCCTAGACCCAAAGTATCAGCATCACCTGGGATCTTGTTAGGAAGGCAAATTCTAGGACCAGCAGGTGGCGTAGTGGCTGAAGCACTGGACTCTCACATGGTCAACAAAGGTTCAAGCCCTGCACCCAGTGACTTGAAGATCACACCAGGCACATGTGCAAGAGTGCCCAAGGTCCTGAGAAGAGAATGGAGGAGAGGGGCTCTGGAGCCGGGCCGGGACCTGAGTGCTGCCAGATGCCGTTACCATATGAAATTAAGCATGGCAGAAGAAGAGGATTATATGTCTGATTCCTTCATTAATGTCCAAGATGATATCAGACCACGATTGCCAACGCTGAGGCAAACCCGAGAAGCCCGTCGAGAAGAAGAAAAACAACAGGAAGCTGATTTGAAAAATAGGCAGAAGAGTTTAAAAGAGGAAGAACAAGAACAACGTGACATTGGATTGAAGAGTGCACTTGACTGTGAAAACAAAGGGTTTGCTTTCTCCAAAAGATGAGATTTAAAAACGGTCAGGCTCTCAGCAAGAGCGGACATGGTATTGTTGAACCGATTCCTCTCAGTGTCAAAGTGGGAAAGTGGTATTGGACATGAGACATTATTTTTTCCTTTAAAGAATTATTTTTTATTTAACTTTGTTTATTATTATTTTCCAGTTTTTTGATCAGAGAGAGACAGAGAAAGAGAGAGAGGGAGAGTGACAAAGCAAGCCACCAGGTCCGGGACTTGAACTGAGATCGGCCATGTGGGAGTCCAGCGCCTTTAACCACCACACTACCTGCTGGCCCCTGTCATGAGACATTATTAAAACGGAAAGCAGAGGGAAAATTAGAAAGCTATAGGAGAAAGATTCACATGAAAAACCAAGCTGAAGAGAAAGCTGCAGAGCAGTTTCGAATGCGACTTAAAAATAAGCAAGATGAAATGAAGCTAGCAAGAGATCTTAAAAGAAGCCAGCGAGCCTGTCAACAGTTAGATGCCCAGAAGAGTATTCAGGATCCCAAGGAGGCATGGCACTGGTTGGAACTTGAAGAGGAGACTGAACAAGAGGACGAGGAAGAAAAAGAACAGGACGAGGATGAATATAACAGCAAAGATTTAAGTGTACCGGAAAAATTACAAATATTGGCTAGTTATTTAAGAGAAGAACATCTGTGTTGTGTTTGGTGTGGAACAGCATATGAAGATAAAGAAGACCCATCTTTGAATTGCCCGGGACCAACTTCTGCAGATCATGACTGAGAGATTCCCAAAAAGTGGAAACATGAACCATGTTACTGTCTCCTAGAAACAGACAATTTGGCCGTTGGAATTCCTAAATTTTTTATTCCAGTAAAGAAAGAGGGTCTTTGTATAATGTTTTATTCCTTCTATACTTTAAAAGTACTTTGTATAATACTTTAAATATAATTGTTCATTGACTAGGGAAAACAAAAAAGAATGGAGGAGAGGGGATTGCAGTGTGACCATCACCCCTGAGAGATGATTTTTCACTTTCCCTCTTTCTCTCTCTGCGAGCACACAGGCCATATGAAAAAAAAAAAAGCCAAATTCTTAGCCCCACCCCAAATTAATCAGTTCCGAGACTCTGGCAGCAGGGTCAGACACCTCTGTGGTTAACAAGCCCCCCCAGGGTATGCTGATGTACTTAAGTCTGAGAAGCACTGGTCTAGGTCTAGGACCTAATCCATTTCCTTTGTGTGTCAGTGTAGACTTTGGTCTCTCTCTCTTTTGTTTTTTCCTTCTTTCTTTCTTTATTTATTTTTAGTTTGACCAGAGAGAGACAGAGGGTAAGAGTGAGAGAGAGGAAGTGAGAAAGCAAGCCACCAGATTCATGATTCGAACTCTGGTCAGCCATGTGGGAGTGTCCACTGCCTTAACCACCACACCACCTGCTGGT